CTCCTTGTTACCACGCGACACTGATGGAGTGCTGTACGGGGAAAACAGGAATCCACGTTGCATGCAAGTGGCACATTATCGCCGCGTGCTATTACAGCGATATCAGGCTCTTCCCAATCAAAACACCGCCCGGGCGCTAACACAAGCAGGCAGTGTTCCTCGCAGCGTTAGACGTGACGATGCTTTGACGAGGTTTGAAATAAACATCTGAAGAGCCAAGGGACACATGAAACTGTGGGGTGGGAGGGAGGTGACCGGGTAACTCACAGGTCACAGCCCCGAGGCCAGCCCTGCTGAGATCCTGGGTTCGAATTGATTTGGATTTTCACCCCCTGGCCTCTTGATGAAACCGGGTTCTCAGGCGGAGCGAGTGGATGACCTCAGCGCAAACACCAATGACTGAACAGGTTTAATCACGCCCCAGTCTTTGCCGATCGATGGGTCTCTATGCAAGTCTATTGGTCTCTGTGTAAGTCTGTGGATCCACTTGTGAGCGATTGGTCACGGGGCTGAGGTCATAAACTCGCTGCACTTGAGAAGCTGGTTTAATGACGAGTGGCTGGTTTAATGACGAGTGGCTAGTTTAATGACGAGTGGCTGGTTTAATGACGAGTGGCTGGTTTAATGACGAGTGGCTGGTTTAATGACGAGTGGCTGATTTAATGACGAGTGGCTGATTTAATGACAAGTGGCTGGTTTAATGACGAGTGGCTAGTTTAATCACAAGTGGCTGATTTAATGACGAGTGGCTGATTTAATGATGAGTGGCTGGTTTAATGACAAGTGGCTAGTTTAGTGATGAGTGGCTGATTTAATGACGAGTGGCTGATTTAATGAGGAGTGGATGGTTTAATGACGAGTGGCTGGTTTAATCACGAGTGGCTGATTTAATGACGAGTGGCTGGTTTAATAACGAATGGCTGGTTTAATGATGAGTGGCTGGTTTAATGACGAGTGGCTGGTTTAATGACGAGTGGCTGGTTTAATGACGAGTGGCTGGTTTAGTGACGAGTGGCGGGTTTAATCACGAATGGCTACTTTAATGACGAGTGCCTGGTTTAATGACGAGTGGCTGGTTTAATGACGAGTGGCTAGTTTAGTGACGAGTGGCTGATTTAATGACGAGTGGCTGATTTAATGACGAGTGGATGGTTTAATGACGAGTGGCTGGTTTAATCACGAGTGGCTGATTTAATGACGAGTGGCTGGTTCAATGACGAGTGGCTGGTTTAGTGACGAGTCGCTGGTTTAATGACGAGTGGCTGGTTTAATGACGAGTGGCTGGTTTAATAACGAGTGGCTGGTTTAATGACCAGTGGCTGGTTTAGTGACGAGTGGCGGGTTTAATCACGAATGGCTACTTTAATGACGAGTGGCTGGTTTAATGACGAGTGGCTGGTTTAATGATGAGTGGCTGATTTAATGACGAGTGGCTGGTTTAATAACGAATGGCTGGTTTAATGATGAGTGGCTGGTTTAATGACGAGTGGCTGGTTTAGTGACGAGTCGCTGGTTTAATGACGAGTGGCTGGTTTAATGACGAGTGGCTGGTTTAATGACGGGTGGCTGGTTTAGTGACGAGTGGCGGGTTTAATGACGAGTGGCTACTTTAATGACGAGTGGCTGGTTTAATCACGAGTGGCTGGTTTAATGACGAGTGGCTGGTTTAATGACGAGTGCCTGGTTTAATGACGAGTGACTGGTTTAGTGACGAGTGGCTGGTTTAATGACGAGTGGCTAGTTTAAAGACGAGTGTCTGGTGTAGTGGCGAGTGGCTGGTTTAGTGACGAGTGGCTGGTTTAATGACGAGTGACTGGATTAGTGACGAGTGGCTGGTTTAATCACGAGTGGCTAGTTTAATGAGGAGTGGCTGGTGTAGTGACGAGTGGCTGGTTTATTGACGAGTGGCTGGTTTAATGATGAGTGGCTAGTTTAATGACGAGTGGCTGGTGTAGTGACGAGTGGCTGGTTTAATGACGAGTGGCTGGTGTAGTGACGAGTAGCTGGCTTAATGACGAGTGGCTGGTTTAATCACGAGTGGCTGGTTTAATCACGAGTGGCTGGTTTAATCACGAGTGGCTGGTTTAATCACGAGTGGCTGGTTTAATCACGAGTGGCTGGTTTAATGACAAATGGCTGGTTTAATGACGAGTGGCTAGTTTAATCACGAGTGGCTGGTTTAATAACGAGTGGCTGGTTTAATGACGAGTGGCTAGTTTAATCACGAGTGGCTGATTTAATGACAAGTGGCTGGTTTAATGACGAGTGGCTGGTTTAATGATGAGTTGCTGGTTTAGTGACGAGTGGCTGGTTTCATGACGAGTGGCTAGTTTAATCACGAGTGGCTGGTTTAATGACGAGTGGCTGGTTTAATGACGAGTGGCTGGTTTAATCACGAGTGGCTGATTTAATGACGAGTGGCTGGTTTAATAACGAATGGCTGGTTTAATGACGAGTGGCTGGTTTAATGACGAGTGGTTGGTTTAATGATGAGTGGCTGGTTTAGTGATGAGTGGCTGGTTTAATGACGAGTGGCTGGTTTAATGGCGAGTGGCTGGTTAATGACGAGTGGCTGGTTTAATCACGAGTGGCTGGTTTAATCACGAGTGGCTGGTTTAATGACAAATGGCTGGTTTAATGACGAGTGGCTAGTTTAATCACGAGTGGCTGGTTTAATCACGAGTGGCTGGTTTAATGACGACTGGCTGGTTTAATGACGAGTGGCTGGTTTAATGACAAGAGGCCGGTTTAATCACGAGTGGCTGATTTAGTGACAAGTTGTTGGTTTAATGACGAATGGCTGGTTTAATGACGAGTGGCTGGTTTAGTGACAAGTTGCTGGTTTAATGACGAGTGGCTGGTTTAATCACGAATGGCTTGTTTAATGGCGAGTGGCTGGTTTAATGACGAGTGGCTGGTTTAATGACGAGTGGCTAGTTTAATCACGAGTGGCTGGTTTAATCACGAGTGGCTGGTTTAATGACGAGTGGCTAGTTTAATCACGAGTGGCAGATTTAATGACAAGTGGCTGGTTTAATGACGAGTGGCTAGTTTAATCACGAGTAGCTGATTTAATGACAAGTGGCTGGTTTAATGACGAGTGGCTGGTTTAATGATGAATGGCTGGTTTAGTGACGAGTGGCTGGTTTCATGAAGAGTGGCTAGTTTAATCCACGAGTGGCTGGTTTAATGACGAGTGGCTGGTTTAATGATGAGTGGCTAGTTTAATCACGAGTGGCTGGTTTAGTGACGAGTGGCTGGTTTCATGAAGAGTGGCCGGTTTAATGACAAGTGGCAGGTTTAATCACGAGTGGCTGGTTTAATGGCGAGTGGCTGGTTTAATCACGAGTGGCTGGTTTAATGACGAGTGGCTGGTTTAATGACGAGTGGCTGGTTTAGTGACGAGTGGCTAGTTTAATGACGAGTGTCTGGTTTAATGATGAGTGGCTAGTTTAATAACGAGTGTCTGGTTTAATGACGAGTGGCTGGTGTAGTGACGAGTGGCTGGTTTAATGACGAGTGGCTACTTTAATGACGAGTGGCTGGTGTAGTGACGAGTGGCTGGTTTAATGACCAGTGGCTGGTTTAATGATAAGTGGCTGGTTTAATGACGAGTGGCTGGTTTAATGACAAGTTGCCGGTTTAATCACGAGCGGCTGATTTAGTGACAAGTTGCTGGTTTAATTACGAGTGGCTGGTTTAATGACGAGTGGCTGGTTTAGTGACAAGTTGCTGGTTTAATGACGAGCGGCTGGTTTAATGATAAGTGGCTGGTGTAGTGACGAGTGGCTGGTTTAATGACGAGTGGCTGGTTTAATGACGAGTGTCTGGTTTAGTGACGAGTGGCTAGTTTAATGACGAGTGGCTGGTTTAATGACGAGTGGCCACTTTAATAACGAGTGTCTGGTTTAATGACGAGTGGCTAGTTTAATGACGAGTGGCTGGTTTAATAACGAGTGGCTGGTTTAGTGACGAGTGGCTGGTTTAATGACGAGTGGCTGGTTTAATGACGAGTGGCCACTTTAATAACGAGTGTCTGGTTTAATGACGAGTGGCTAGTTTAATGACGAGTGGCTGGTTTAATAACGAGTGGCTGGTTTAGTGACGAGTGGCTGGTTTAATGACGAGTGGCTACTTTAATGACGAGTGGCTGGTGTAGTGACGAGTGGCTGGTTTAATGACCAGTGGCTGGTTTAATGATAAGTGGCTGGTTTAATGACAAGTGGCTGGTTTAATGACAAGTGGCCGGTTTAATCACGAGTGGCTGATTTAGTGACAAGTTGCTGGTTTAATGACGAGTGGCTGGTTTAATGACGAGTGGCTGGTTTAGTGACAAGTTGCTGGTTTAATGACGAGTGGCTGGTTTAATCACGAGTGGCTGGTTTAATCACGGGTGGGTGGTTTAATGACGAGTGGCTGGTTTAGTGACAAGTGGCTGGTTTAGTGACGAGTGGCTGGTTTAATGACGAGTGGCTGGTGTAGTGACGAGTGGCTGGTTTAATGACGAGTGGCTAGTTTAATGATGAGTGGCTGGTGTAGTGACGAGTGGCTGGTTTCATGACGAGTGGCTGGTTTAATGACGAGTGGCTGGTTTTATGACGAGTGGCTAGTTTAATGACGAGTGGCTGGTTTAATGACGATGGCTGGTTTAATGACGAGTGGCTGGTTTAATGACGAGTTGTTGGTTTAATGACGAGTGGCTGGTTTAATCACGAGTGGCTGGTTTAATCACGAGTGGCTGATTTAATGACGAGTGGCTGGTTTAATGACGAGTGGCTGGTTTAATGACGAGTGGCTGGTTTAGTGACGAGTGGCTAGTTTAGTAACAAGTGACTGGTTTAATCACGAGTGGCTGAACTCCGACCCAGGACCTCGCCCGTGGCGGCTCATCTCCTGTGCTTCACGCTGTCTGCACCGCGCTGGGATGAAGTCTCAGAGTTGGTCTCTGCAAACCTTCCAGCCACGACCATGGTCGCCTGCAGTGATGTCCTTGTGCTTACCTTCTCCGAGTGCCTTGCCCAGTTAAACCAGTTGAACCTGGCAGGCTTGCCCGGACGTTGGGGGTTCTTCGACACGCCTGTGGGACGACAAATACCCAAGCAACTCAGTGGCTTGTGCCATTGTGATGTATGCATTGGAGCAGGACCGCTTCTGATTCTCACTTGGCACTTACGTTTGCCACGGCCAGGAATCGCACTTGGGTGGCTGGATTCATAGCGGAGTGCCCCGACCACTGTGCCATCACTCCACCCCGTTTAATTTCAATGTCAAACCGCGTTAAGAGTTGGAACGAAATCCGCTTGAACAGGTTTGTCAGAACAAGCTGGGCAACAAGACATCTAATTGGGCACCCGTTCCCAAACGCACAGTCGCCACCCCTCTTGTGAGATTTCGCGACGCGATAAATTGCACCACGCATTCAAACTGGGGAACGGACCACGGGGACGGGGTGCCATAGTGCGCGAAATGTTATCTCCCTCCCCTGGTATGCACGTGGTCGTGCGTTTGATCCCGGTCGTGACGTCTGTATATTTGGAGTTCGTGGTGTCTCTCTCCCCGTGATCGCGTGGATTTTTCTCCGGGTCCTCTGGTTTTTTCCCCTCCACATTTAGAATCGACAACATCACGCGTTTCGACTTTTGGTTGCTTTCAATTTCCACATGACAAAGCCACTTCGTTGAAGCTTTCATTTGTGCCCAGGTCGCTTCTGTAAAAAAAAAAAAAACACGTAGCTAGCTCAGCTGGGGCTTTACCTGTTGACATCAAGGTGGAAGAAAAAAAAGGTGAAAACAAACGCAACAGAAGAAAGATATGAGGCCAACCGAGAGATTGTTGATTCATGAGCCGAGGTCGCGCCGACAGCAGCAATCCGTCGCGTGCGTGGCGAGGGCGTCCGTCACGCCAGCTCCGTTCTCCCCGCGCCGCGCTTGCGGACAGACGCGTGGCCCCCAAACAAACGTGGAGGTCACCGGTTTGAAAAGCGGCACGCGGAGCGCACGGTGACCGCGGCGGTCGCGGGTGTCACCCGACAGTCAACCACTCAACGATATCGACGGATGTGAACTCTGAAGCCCCTTTGCCTGCGCTGGAGTTATGGGCGCAGAGAGGCAGGGGCGGGCAGGGGGGGTTTGCTATTATGCGCGTGTAAGTGCTCGGCACAATGTTTTGATTGTGATAACTCCACTTTCCTGGGTCTCGATTTGAGAGCGCCTGGCTTCGTACTTGGCTCCTCTTTAGGGGGGGGTTGGGTGGGAGGGGGTAGGGAGGGAATTGAATGGCACCGTCATTGTTTCAGCGGCAATGTAAAATAAGTCATTTTCCCCGCTGCCAAAGGGGACAGACAGAATGTTTCGTCAAGTGCAGTCGATGGAATAATTTGGCAATAAACTTGAACTTGAACTGTTATTTTAGACTCCCTTAATCTAAGCCGTTGGCTGGGCCACGCGGAGTGTCTGTCACATGCGCAAATCTCGCATTTAGACGAACAGATTGTGGGTGAAGGTGCAGTTTAGGGAGCACCTATTAAGGTCGTCATGGCGCGCATGGGGTGGCGGCGTTGCCAGCCTGATGCTCGACAGACTGACTTTGCCTCCCGAGTACCGATGCTTACACAACGCGCCACCGGCTTACTCATTTAAGGCTGAGTTGACCGAGAGGAGGCCGGCCGAGGTACAAATGCAGATTGCAACTCGCCACCGATGCAGTGGCCGGGCTGAGAGCGACTCGGTGTGCCAATTTGTTCACCGTATGACGCGTACTGCCCGAAACACAACAAATGTGGTCGGCACAGAGGTGCCACCCTGCATTGTTTGTGGTTGTTGCCGCTGTGGCGGAATTGGTTCTAGAGTGCTTTCTTGGCCCTCTCTTCAACGTTGGCCAGGCAGATTGAAGGATGTGGCAGTACCCACACTTTACCCCAACACGCACGATCTGCCTGCCAGCTGACACTGCTGGGTGGATAGAAGTTGGGTAAGGGAGGTGGGGGGGGGTGGTGGGATTTTTTAAAAAAACGTATCCATTGTTGCATCCATGGGAGGCCACGTAAAGAGAAGGCTTACCTCCTCCACACTATGGGAATCCTCATGAGCACTTGCCTCCGATTTAACACGGTTGGCTACGTACGTTGCGAAAGAAGTTCAACACAAATACGTAAAGGCAACGGTAATTGAGGTTCACGACCGGATAAAGTATGCAGGCTGGAGACAGATTTAATAACACACAGCAAATGCAAGACACAACTCCCATCGCGCATTGCACCTGCTGGACATCTGTGAAAAAGAGCTTCATAGCTCATCGGATTCCTCCAGGATAAATGAAGATTCTGATTCAGGACCGATTTGACCACCCCAATTGAACGCACACTGCTCTCAGCCTTGTCCAGGGCCACCGACTCTGAAGCTGACCCACGTGGCCGCTCTCGGTGTTTACAAGCCCCCACGCGTTTTTTTTTCCCCCCATCGCGATAGTTTATAGTTTAAAATAACCATAAATTGCCTGCTTCACAGCGAACGTTAAAGATCCCGTGTCATTGAAAAATGGTCGGCCATGTATGCCAGCGCCACGGTCTACATCTGCCAAATATGAAAATTACTGAACTCGCAAATAACCGAACTGGGTTAAAAAAAAAAAAAAAAACATAGCAACATTGCCTTCTACTGTGAAACTAATCCGTAGCCTACTCGTCGAAAGCAACGGCGTGGATTCCAAATGTACTAACGGCTTGATTTGAAAGTGGTGCTAATTTCATTGGTCCCTCAGAGATGATGATGGGTTTGGTTTGATTGCCGACTGAGCTTTGAACGTAACAATAATGTGTCCTCCGTTTCAGGGGGTGGCTCGTTGATTCATTATATATTCATTAATTCAAATATTTGGTTGGCCCTATGTTAAACTCTTGTGGAATGAAAGCCTCAACACAGCATGTTGGTCATGGCCTCATGGGGATTTGTTTGTCCACTCTTCACCACGCTGGTTAGAATGGCTTGGTGAAGAGGGGGCGGACAGGACTGATTTAGACATCACCCACCAGTTACGTTAGCCACGGCTGGGAATTGAACTCGGGAGCTGGGTTCATCGCGCTATGCGCTAAGCACTTCACCACCGCTTCTCCAACCCCATTTGATATAACACGTCCCCTAATTTAAGTCTTGAACTAAAACTTAATTATTTTTACTTAATCAGGTAAGGCCCACTGAGCTATGTAGCTCTTTTTCAGAAGCGACCTGGCCACAATTGATTGCTCAACGAAGTGGCTTATCATCACGTAGACATTTTATAGCAGACAAATGATCGAAACTCGCGTTTTTGAATGTGGAGAGAGAAACCGGAGGACCCGGAGAAAAATCCATGCGACTACAGGGAGAGAGACAAATATTCAGGCATCAGGGTCGGGATCTAACCAGCGACCTACTGTATACGAGGCGAGGTGGTAAACATCTCACCACAATGGCGCAATGTTAACAACGAAATTTGGCAGCGAAACAAACAAAATGATACAATTAATTATTTAGTCATTGATTTTCATTGTGAAGTGCCAGAAAAGTGTTTTTCACCAACTTGCCAATCAGGCCCCAGGGCCACTGTTGCAAGGAAAGCCAAATTCATAATAATAATAACAATTTGCATTTGTCAGGCAGATTTCATCCGTAGATCCCGATGCTTTATTTCGTGATAAGTTAAAATACATTGCGTGAGATTCCTGTCAAGATTACTATTTAGTAATTCAATTAGTTGCAGTGTTATGTATTAATTAGAAGAATAACAATGAGCATGTTTAACACTTTAATGAAGTTATAAATCCCACTATACGATATTGATAACGCAATTGGAATATAATTGCACGGCCTTCTCTTTGCCAACAAAAACCTTGACTTGCGTGGAGGTCACCTGTCCCAAGCACGAGACAGGCTTTAACGCTGCTTAGCTTCCGAAGTCTGATGACATCTGATACATTCCAGTTGATTTTGCCATAGACTGATAGAAATAAAAAAAGACCTTCATTATTGTTGATTTGTTCCATTATAACAAGGCTGTAATTATAATATATATTGGGGGACACACATCCCTCCCAATATTCAAATATGTTCAAAATGTCCCCCCCAATATATTGCTATAAACAATATTAAAAACCATAATAATTGCTATGCTATAAAAACAACAATTTGCTAAACCTTGGCCACAATATCTGGACTTGTCTTCATATGACAATGCATAGATTTCTGTTTATATGATTGTGCTAATGGTTGTACTTTATTAATCCCTAATCTCAGCCATTTCATGCAATGAAACAAGAAATGGTAAAAAAGTCAAAGCAGAGCAATGTAATACAATACACTATTAGACATTATTGTAAAAAATAAATGAAAAGTCTATCCCATGTGTTAGTGAATTTTTTACTATTTTAGGCAGGAAATTCGTTTTCAAATTTAGATTTTTTCCTGGGGGGGACCGCTAGACCTCCTGGAAGATTTGGTCCCCCCCAATGTTGACTCCATGGCTACGGCCATGCATTATAATATTAATAATAATACCTATTTGTAACTTACCGCACAGTACAGTATTCGCTCATTTTCAGAGAGAGATGCAGAAGTCTGCGTGCGTGGCACACAAAACAAAGATCCCCCGTATAGCCTTAACAGACTGTAGGGGCAAGTGCTGTTAGCGAGCACCTATGAAGGCCGCCACAGCACACAAGGGGGTTTGGTGGTCAACACCACGCACGACCGCCTTTGTCTCCCCAGTGGCGATGTTCACACACCATACCAGGTATTCATTTGAGGCTGAGTCGACCTATGGGGAGGTGCAGGACCGGTTCGGATAATCGTCACTGGCGGTAACCGCGAACGGGAATCGAACTCGGGTCACCGGGTTTTGTGGACGGGGCGAGCTAACCGCAACACCGGCACACACGCTCCGATGTTTGCTTTCAAATAGAGGGCCGCGTTATTGACGCGCGCGTTGAACCCCCGTCGACAACAATGTCGCCTTACCCCCGGGATGTTCAGCGAGGGACGTAAGAGGGCAGCAGCAGCTGACGATGGTGACGATGACGGCGAGGGTCGACAGCAGCCTGACGATGGCTCTGCGGTCGCTCCTGGGCAGGGGAGAGCATTGGCCGGGTTGCAGTGTCATCGTGGCCAACGCCGCTCACATCTCCCTCTCTTCTCCCACCGCACCTGCGTGGTGGTTGCGCAGTGTGGGCAGCTGTGGGTCTCATCGGCAGGGGGACGAGAGGGTGACAACGTGGTGGATTTGTACAATTTACTGGTTTGCCTCGTTAACTTTGTAAACAAACATAAAAGTTCGGTTACGACAAGTGCCGTTTATATACTCCTTGGTTCTTTCGGTAAAGTCACGTAGGTATAAGAATAAAACCAAAAAAATAATATAGCGCAACGTTTCGATCGCAACACAAGCGATCGTCCTCAGGCGGAAAAAAATAATCCAGCAGTTCTACTGCTGAACCAGAGCAATAATCCAGCAGTTGCACTGCTGGATAATTTTTTATACGCCTGAGGACGACCGCTTGTGTTGCGATCGAAACGTCGTGACATATTATTTTAGTTTTATTTTCATACCTACGTGACGTTACCGAAAGAACCAAAGAATATTAATTCCTGCAGTCACGAAAGCTTCAAATCAAGATTGCCGTTTATATATTTCGATGCGACGCCGCCGTGGTGTTAATTGTCGTCCCAGAAGGAGGAAAAATCCACCGCTCCTGCAAGTATCTCAGCTCTTGCAAATCCCACGACGACGACGGGAGGAGGAGGAGGCAAACGCGGGAGAGGCAGGGACAGCAGCGCCACGGCAGAACGACTCAGTTCAGTTCAGTTTTCAGTTCAGTTTATTTTTGTATAGCCCTGTGAGCCATTCGGATCAACGACCCCAGGGCCACGCGCCCCGCTCTGAAACACGCGAGTCTGTCGCCCCCCCCCCCCCCCCCAAGATTGGCCTCATCGGGCGTGTTCACACCCCACGGACGAGGGCATTGGTGGAAGACGATCATCCTCGGCCGCGAGGGATGCCCGAAAAATGACGAGAACGGTTGGCAGCACGCTGGACCTGCAATCCATATAAGTTGCCGGTTCGATTTTAAAATTTCCCCCACCCAGCAGTGTAAATGGGTATACCATAGTCTATCGGCAGCAGGTCATGTGTGGTGGGGTGAAGTATGGGTACTCACACCTCTTCCAAGACGTCTGGCCAACGTGGAAGAGTAGGCAAAATGCTCTCGAGATGGACTAGAGAGGCCCTTTTGCCATTGGAGGCCCTTCCTGCCAGCAATGGCTAGAGAAACGCCTTTACTTTCTGATTACTTAATTTTTACTTGTAGAGAGTGGTACTGATACCACTGAAAAAAATGTAAGTTGAACTTCTATTTCGCACCGTACGTAGCCAACCGTGCTCATCGGAGGTGTGAGTGGCTGGTTACTCATTCACAGGAATTAAATAATCTCCCTGTTGAAATTAGCATCAAGTGGCACTCACCCCTATTATTGGTCCTGAAATAATTCTGAAATTCCACATTCCTATGGCAGAAGCCATTGTCTGTATATGATAACCACTGTTGACCCAGCAAATATACACAACACATGTACAGCCCTTTTGTCAATACACTCCTTGATGGGGACCTAGCTCCACAGAGGGTACGGTAATAAAGGATTATGATGCATTTACGCATCTTGTATTCGAGTGGCAGCGCCTCAGGCTGATGATCGCTCCTCTCAGCCAGCCGATTAGCGTTCCAGAAAATGTTGAGCGAGGAATTAAAACCGCGGAGAGGACCACCACTGGGTGCAAGTTGAAGCATTGGAACCAACGTTGACACTGGTATATTGTGGTCACACAACAACAGCAAGATATAATCACGGGGCACAATTGCCCAGGTAAATGTTCACATTGAAATAATGAGACGTAATTGTAATGTACCGTGCCTATTTCACTCATACTTGGAGAGAGAGAGAGAAACGGCTCAGGTGGGGAATCACAGACATGCGGGAAAGGCAGCAGGAGCAGCTACTGTAGGTGGTGAGCCAACACTACCAACAATTGTCCAAGCTTTACGGGTCCTCTATATGTCAGGATGTTTATTCTTTCGATTTATACACGTTATTTTTAATTTCTGTAATACTAAGAGCAGATTTAGTTATACAAGTTAAGTTAATTTTTGAAAAATATATATTTTTTAATGAGTGTGCTTAATAATAAGTGAGTGTTTAAAATAAGAAAAAAAGACAAGTATTCTGATAAAAAAGAAATCCATCATGAAAATATATCCCTTTGTAATGAAAGGTCAGATTTAAACGTGGTTACCGCAATTATTAAGAAAGTTATATGGCCAGGAGTAAGTGGTAGGATGTTTATGATAACTCATAAAGTTAATAATAAGGTAATGATAACTCAAAACATATGTGCATAGCGCTGCCCTAAACGGAGCACACACACACGTAACAGGTGATGTGTTCGGCAATAACCCCTCTTCATAATCAGGCACATTATATTTTGTGCATTATTACGCCTGGTTATCCTCCAAGACCTTAACTGAGGCTCAAGACTCTTTTTCAGGAGGCTGCTGCTGAGTTGCAAGATGAATACATTCCACCGATGTGTCTGCAATAAAGAAGGGATGTTTCTCGAAACGTTTATACATTTATTTTTAACGATTTTTAGGGCAGTATTATTGACAAATGCGTTGAGTTGTTACTTTAAATCATTGTCCTTAATAGCGTTTATTTTATAAAAAAAAAAACTACATTATTTGTAACATTACATTCATCCCATTTTAATAACATTACGTTCATCCCGTTTTAATAAAACTGCAGTAATGTTCAGTTGTTATCGCTCGTCGTGCCGGTGAGTTAACGGTTTGGGGATCACGCGTCATACCGACCGACGTGCCGAGTGGCTTGCCGCAACGCTCTGCAAAGGCACGGGCGTGGTTTTATTTGCAATAATTAATCTACTCAAAAAATGTTAAATTCAACGCACGCGCCGAAATTACAATTGCTTCACAAATCGCGCGTCACAAAGCGGACGCGACATCGCCGCAACGATGCCGGTCGCCTGTGTATCCGGAGCAATGCGGGTTTACCATCATGTCGCGGATTCAGAAAGTATTTATTAGCAAAGAGCGGAGTGTGTTGCACATTCGCCACAAGCATGTCCACGCGTTGTGTTAGTAGGTCCACGTATTGTGTTAGTAGGTCCACGTGTTGTGTTAGCAAGTCCACGCGTTGTGTTAGCAAGTCCACGTGTTGTGTTAGCAAGTCTACGCGTTGTATTAGCAAGTCCACGTGTTGTGTTAGTAGGTCCACGTGTTGTGTTAGCAAGTCCACGTGTTGTGTTAGCAAGTCCACGTGTTGTGTTAGTAGGTCCACGTGTTGTGTTAGTAGGTCCACGTGTTGTGTTAGCAAGTCCACGCTTTGTGTTAGCAAGTCCACGTGTTGTGTTATTAGGTCCACGTGTTGTGTTAGTAGGTCCACGTGTTGTGTTAGTAGGTCCACGTGTTGTGTTAGCAAGTCCACGTGTTGTGTTAGCAAGTCCACGTGTTGTGTTAGTAGGTCCACGTGTTGTGTTAGCAAGTCCACGTGTTGTGTTAGTAGGTCCACGTGTTGTGTTAGCAAGTCCACGTGTTGTGTTAGTAGGTCCACGTGTTGTGTTAGCAAGTCCACGTATTGTGTTAGCAAGTCCACGCGTTGTGTTAGTAGGTCCACGTGTTGTGTTAGCAAGTCCACGCGTTGTGTTAGCAAGTCCACGTGTTGTGTTAGCAAGTCCACGCGTTGTGTTAGCAAGTCCACGCGTTGTGTTAGTAGGTCCACGTGTTGTGTTAGCAAGTCCACGTGTTGTGTTAGCAAGTCCACGCGTTGTGTTAGCAAGTCCACGCGTTGTGTTAGCAAGTCCACGTGTTGTGTTAGCAAGTCCACGCGTTGTGTTAGCAAGTCCACGTGTTGTGTTAGCAAGTCCACGTGTTGTGTTAGCAAGTCCACGTGTTGTGTTAGCAAGTCCACGTGTTGTGTTAGTAGGTCCACGTGTTGTGTTAGCAAGTCCACGTGTTGTGTTATTAGGTCCACGTGTTGTGTTAGTAGGTCCACGTGTTGTGTTAGTAGGTCCACGTGTTGTGTTAGCAAGTCCACGTGTTGTGTTAGCAAGTCCACGTGTTGTGTTAGTAGGTCCACGTGTTGTGTTAGCAAGTCCACGTATTGTGTTAGTAGGTCCACGTGTTGTGTTAGCAAGTCCACGTGTTGTGTTAGTAGGTCCACGTGTTGTGTTAGCAAGTCCACGTATTGTGTTAGCAAGTCCACGCGTTGTGTTAGTAGGTCCACGTGTTGTGTTAGCAAGTCCACGCGTTGTGTTAGCAAGTCCACGTGTTGTGTTAGCAAGTCCACGCGTTGTGTTAGCAAGTCCACGCGTTGTGTTAGTAGGTCCACGTGTTGTGTTAGCAAGTCCACGTGTTGTGTTAGCAAGTCCACGCGTTGTGTTAGCAAGTCCACGTGTTGTGTTAGCAAGTCCACGCGTTGTGTTAGCAAGTCCACGTGTTGTGTTAGCAAGTCCACGTGTTGTGTTAGCAAGTCCACGTGTTGTGTTAGCAAGTCCACGTGTTGTGTTAGTAGGTCCACGTGTTGTGTTAGCAAGTCCACGCGTTGTGTTAGTAGGTCCACGTGTTGTGTTAGTAGGTCCACGTGTTGTGTTAGCAAGTCCACGTGTTGTGTTAGTAGGTCCACGTATTGTGTTAGCAAGTCCACGCGTTGTGTTAGTAGGTCCACGCGTTGTGTTAGTAGGTCCACGTGTTGTGTTAGCAAGTCCACGTGTTGTGTTAGTAGGTCCACGTATTGTGTTAGCAAGTCCACGCATTGTGTTAGTAGGTCCACGCGTTGTGTTAGTAGGTCCACGTGTTGTGTTCGCATTACATACTAACCTCCAAAGCATTGCAAGTTCATGCCCCCTATTGTTATCACGCGTGCGATTATACAAAGCGATCTGTTTATAGACACCCCTGCTAAAATAACAGGGAGAAGTCGTCAGAGAAAATTAACCCTTCTGTTTCAAAGCCTCTACAACGTCTCCCCCCATCCCAATCTCGATGCACCGCATTACATTTTAAATCAGCGTCCTCCCGGTACGATACGGGAGCCATCGCTTTCCCAACATTCAATCGCCTGTTGATGGGGAACAAATGTTCGCTGTACAAACCAGTTAGGGTCTCTACACCATGGATCACCCTGTGTATGTCGTCAAAGTCTTCTTGACAGCAGCGGACGCATTATTGCAGTTGCATTTCAAGAAATGTCGCCACCGACTGTATCCCGATGCACGGGGCAAAGAAACGTCCGGCAGAAAGTAATGCGATCAGAAAAAAATCGTGC